CATCACATCTAACTGGAGAGCCCCAGCGAATTTGTACTGGATCTGTGGTAAGAAGGCCTATTCGGAGTTACCACAGGACTGGGAAGGGGCATGTGTGTTGGGTATGTTGAAACCATCCTTCTTCTTGTTGCCTATTGAAACAGGTGAGACTTTAGGTGTTAAAGTGTATGATGTGAATCATAGGAAGAAAAGGGGACCCATAGAGATAGGTGCCTGGGAAGATAATGAATGGCCTCCCCAGCGTATTATAGATTATTATGGGCCAGCCACGTGGGCAGAGGATGGTACCTTTGGTTATAGAACCCCTATTTATATGCTCAACCGCATTATAAGGTTACAGGCGGTGGTTGAGATCATTACTAACGAGACATCACAAGCGCTCAATCTTCTAGCGAAGCATAATACCAGGATGAGGACAGCAGTTTACCAAAATAGATTAGCCTTGGATTATCTTTTGGCAGTAGAGGGAGGTGTATGTGGGAAGTTTAACCTGAGCAATTGCTGTCTTCAAATAGATGACGAAGGGCAAGCAATAGCTGAGCTTACTAGCCATATGGTTAAACTAGCGCATGTGCCTACTCAGGTATGGAAAGGGTACAATCCAAGTAGTTGGTTTGGTAGCTGGTATGAGTGGTTTGGAGGGCTTAAGGCAGTGGTAGGTGGAGTCCTACTGATTTTAATGTTGTGTCTACTCCTGCCGTGTCTTATACCCTTAGTAGTTAGGTCTGTGCAAAGCCTGATAGAAAATATAGCAGAGAGGAAGGCTGCTGCACAGATAATGGCAATTTATAAATATAAGGCTCTAGATCAGGGAGAACCAATGCAGGAAGACGAGTGTTGAAGATTCACATCATAGGATAAGTCTGGTCTGGTTCAAAGGTAACTTGTGGTGTATGCAAACCAAGGTTAAGTGATGCCTCAAGTAATTGTAAAATATCAAGAGGCATCAAAGGGGGGAATGTGGTGGAATCTCGGTAAAAATAAATTTAGTAGGCCGAGATTACCACGTGGCATGTGTACGTGCATATGCTGACGTATCGATCAGTTGGTTGCACGAGGCAAGATACGATCAGTAGTGTACGGAGCATGTGCAAGAATACAGGATGTAGTATTCCCCTCCTCCATTGTGCTGGACAAGCCATGCGGTCAAGCAGGAAGTTAATTCTTATTTGTAATGATTGGTCAAGAGAATGTGCGGGTGGAGCTTAATATGGGAGGAGTTATGTGCCTATATAGGGAGCCTGCACTATTGTTCAGGGCTCAGAACTTGCTGTATTTTTGGTGACATTAGTCCCTCTGAGTCCCGATCGGTGATCCAATAAAGAATCTCTTCCTTCCTGAAGAAACCTGTGTCCATCTCTCTGTGCTTTGCTTCCGTCAGTTTCTCCGGTATCAATTTAGCTAAAGTAATTTAGGTGACTATGGTGTTCCTTTAACTATGATAAGTGATAAAAACATGTGTAACATATCCCAATAAATTATGTGATGGATATCAAAGTGGCAAGATACTTAGAATGCTAATAAAAACTTGCACAACTATACATTACTAATAATTAAAAACAAATGCAGCAAGAGGTTAGAGAAATTAATATGAGAGGCTCTCATGCAGTCCTTTAGGAGCCACTGTGTCCAACTCGAATATCCAAAATGTCTCTTTGTTGAGCAGTATTTCCCCCCGATCATCTCCACACTTAGGTGGTGGTATATAGTCTATAGCGACAAATTTAAGTGAGGATAATGGTTGTAGTTTTTCTAAAAAGTGCTTTGCCACTGGTTTGTCAGTGTGGCCGTCCCTATAGGCCAGTGATGGCGAACCTATGGCACGCGTGCCACAGGTGGCACGCCAGGCCCTCTCTGTTGGCACGCGGCCATAAGTCGCCGGGAGCAGGAGCCGCTGGCTGTCTGCAGAGTAGGCACCTGCCTGCCCGAAACTCTGCTTCCGGGTCGGGAGGCATGGGGAGGGCTCTGGGAAGCAGCTCTCCTTTCCTCCTGCGAGCAAGCTGTGTGGAGCGTTGCCGCGCATTACCATGGCAATGCTCCACACATCATCGCGCGGGAGGATAGGAGAGCTGCTTCCTACAATACTTTCCACCACCGGACCACCAGGGATGGCTGTCCCCCCCCTCCTTCACCAAAGGTAAGAGGAAGGGAGGGGGGATACAGAATTAATATAACTTTTATTTTTAAATGTATCTTTACCCCTACCCCACACAGCACCCCTGCCCCCCCACACAGCATCCCTACCCCCCACAGAACACCCCACCCCTACACAGCACAGCACCCCTACCCCCACACAGCACACCTAACCCCCAACACAGCACCCCTACCCCCCCACAGCACCCCTACCTCCACACAGCACAGCACCCCTAACCCTTACCCCCCACACAGCACATCACCCCTACTCCGCACACACACAGCACCCCTACCCACCACACACACAGCACTCCCACACACAGTACCCACCCCCACACCACCCCTCAGACACACACACAGCACTCCACACATACACTGCATCCCTCAATGCAGTATGTATGTGTGTATTCATCAGTCTGTGTGTGTGTATATTCAGCAGTCTGTGTGTGTGTGTACTCAGCAGACGGTGAGTGTGTGTACTCAGCAGTCTGTGAGTGTGTGTACTCAGCAGTGTATGTATTCAGCAGACTGTGTGTGTGTATTCAGCAGTGTATGTATTTAGCAGTCTGTGTGTATTCAGCAGTCTGTCTGTATGTGTATTCAGCAATCTGTCCGTATGTGTATTTAGCGGACGGTGTGTGTATGTATTTAGCGGACGGTGTGTGTATGTATTTAGCGGATGGTGTGTGAATGTGTTCAGCATTCTGTGTGTGAATGTGTTCAGCAGTCTGTGTGTATGTATTGCATTTGTTGGAGATACTAATAAATATAAGCTTAATTTTATCTATTTATATCATAATTTAAAATTTGTATCATTGAACTCTCTGTTGTGTTCTTCTTTTAAAACAAAAGTTGTTAATTCGTTCGGAAAACTGTACGAGTAGTTTTTTTCTAAACTTAAACCTCAGTATTCAGGTTTAATTGCCATGTTGGCACTTTGAGGGAAAAAAAGTTGGCATGTATTGCGGTTTGGGCACTCGGGCTCAAAAAGGTTCGCCATCACTGCTATAGGCTGTTCTAATGCTCGACCTATGGCCCCAGATTTTTTCCCATGTGGTTAACCCACACGGGCATGAGATTTTATAAATCACATAGGGTGTTTTGCATGTAATTGTATGTCTAAAGTCATATTTCTTATTTTTGTGTGGATGGGTGAATGTTCGAGCCGGCGCCATATGGCAGCCCGTTACACACCCAAGGCATCTTATACTGCCCCTGTTGTGTGTCCTGGTATGATCTTCATAGCGGTTTACTGGATCTGTGTGTGTTCAAATAAATCACGCAGGCTTTTATTTCTCCTATGACAAATCAATGGAGATTCTTTAAAAACCTTTGTCAACGTGTCGTCACATGCCAACATTTTCCAGTTAGTTTTTACTATAGTGGACACCTTTGTCGTAGCTTGATAGTAGGTCACTGGAAAAACCATCCTTGGTGTATCCTTTACCTTCTTAGTGGCGCCCACATTATTTGTATCTTGAAGCGCTCTTCCTAAAAGTTGGCTATTGTATCCATGTTCAAGGAATTTCTCCGTCATTTGTTGAAGCTAGTTTTCCATCAAGTTATTGCGCATAACCCACAGATATTGTGCCTTTGGTAATGAGTTCTTAAGTGCCACCGTGTGTGCACTCTCATAGTGCAATATGGTGTTGTGGTCAGTTGGCTTAGTAAAAAGGCTGTTTAAGACCTTTTGTTCCACCACCGAAGTTTCTACATCCAGATATTGTACTTTGTCCATACTAAATTTGAGCAGTCATCCTAATAGGGGTTGGAAGATGGTTGACATACTCTACCATGGCATGTGTTTCCAATTGGCTTCCTCTCCAGAATATCAAGAGGTCATCTATGTGCATATAATATCCGAGTATATTTTGTTTGAATAATCAGATTTTTCTATAAAGTAAGGAATTTTTATCTTTGAGCCTATGCATAGTTGATCGATATCTCTCTCTCTATATATATATATATTATTTCCACTTAGTTGTACCAGAATCCTCTAGCTAGGTATCTACACATCGCCAAAACACACATGACTGTTTTCATGATCTCTGAACAGATGTAAGATGCACACCTTTTCAATACTTAGCAGAGATCTAAATTTGGGCACCTCAGGTATATACCTACACAAACCTATGGTTGCACATAGACAGCAAAAAACATGCAGAACTCCATGGCCTCAAATTTTCAGATTGCATATTGGCACATAAGTGTCAAAACAGAATATATCAAGCAAGGTCCTCCCCCATCTTCTTTTTTTTTTATTTCCTCCCTTTATATTTCTACTATTATTGTTTGCCTTTTTCCAAGTTAAATATAAACCCAAAATGCTCTATCCATTGCATTTGATCAATGCGTAATAATTGGTTCCACTCTCCATGACAATGTCAACTCCTGTAACACAGGCAACTATTGTTACTCTGTATTTTTTTATATATCTATTGTCAAATATAAGTGTCCAGTATTTTTTAACTGAAAAGGCACCTTTATCACATTACCTACTCTGTATATATTTTACTTTTAGTATAGTAGACTGTGTACCTGCCAATCACAGCCTATGTATTTTGTTAGATTATGATTAGCTTAATTGAATTTGGTTGATACAATTTTGCCATTTGAGACTGACTCTGAAGGCTTGGAGCTGCAATGTAAATATTACAGTTATCTGGAACTGCAATGTTACATAGGGGCACAGCACCCAGACCACTTCAATTATCTGACGCGGTCTGGGTGCCTGGAGTGTCCCTTTAATTAGGCAAATGGTGAAATTGTATAAGTTCTGGGATCCCTCCCCAGTCACTCTGCGGACAGGAAGTAAACCGGAAGTTGCTCCAACCGCTCACAAGAGGTTTCCAGTCAAGGGCAGTGGCGTCAGCGAGCACTCCCAGCATGCCAAGCGAAGTTGATCACGTGACCGAAACCCGCACGGAGCAAGTCACGGTGACAGGAGTTGAAGAAAGATCCTTGTCGCTGGTTAGCTCCGCCCCTTGCTGACGCGCTGTTCTAAGATCACAGCACTTGGTAGAGCAGGTAGGGGGGAGTCTAGAAAGTTCTGACGGCAGTCGCGGGTTGCGTCTTGTAGTTTTCTCAAGTAAACACCCCCTGTTCCTTTGAGATGTCCCAGCGACTTGCTTGTAGCGGCCGGCTTGGCTCTGGCTCGGCGGCAGGTGGAGCTGCGGCTGCAGTAGTAGTCGCAGTTCCTTCAGTAGCAGGTGTGAGCACTGTGCCGGCCGGCGACCTCCTCCGAGTCTACCCTCTGTCCCCCGGCCACAAGCGGCACGAGCCGGCACACGCCGCGGCGGTGGCTCTGGACCTGCCCCGATCGCTGGGAACCGGGGAGCTGCTGCCAGCAGCCAGGAAGAGAGGAGCTCGGGGGCACACCATGAGCAGCCTGCCCTTCTACTGCCGGGGGGAGGTGGTGAAAGGCTTCGGGAGAGGATCCAAGGAGCTGGGCATCCCTACAGGTGAGCGGATACTGGGCTGAGGGGGATGGATGGGACCACCTGGGAGGATAACTGGGGGGGGGATGTGGATGGGACCACCTGGGAGGATAACTGGGGGGGGATGTGGATGGGACCACCTGGGAGGATAACTGGGGGGGGATGTGGATGGGACCACCTGGGAGGATAACTGGGCTGAGGGGATGGATGGGACCACCTGGGAGGATAACTGGGGGGATGTGGATGGGACCACCTGGGAGGATAACTGGGGGATGGATGGGACCACCTGGGAGGATAACTGGGCTGGGGGTATTGGATGGGACCACCTGGGAGGATAACTGGGGGGGGGATGGATGGGACCACCTGGGTGGATAACCTGGCTGGGGGGAGACCACCTGGGAGGATAACTGGGCTGAGGGGATGGATGGGACCACCTGGGAGGATAACTGGGCTGGGGAATTACAGGTGGATCCCATATCCATCACTGGGATACATATTATATGGGGGTTTATTTGGCAAAATAGGAATTTTGAAAAAATGGTGATTAAAAATACCAACTAATTACTTCACACAGGTTTATAGCTACATGGTAGCAAAATACAAATTACTACTAAAGTTAAAATAAAGGTTGGAGATGGGGTTTGTTAAGAAAAATAAAAAGATGTACAGTTATGGCTATTCAAATGCAAGTTGTAATGTGGTAGGAATATGCCATGCAGCAATATATAAATATATAAATATAATGCTGTGCTTAAAGCGGCACTGTCATGCCAAACTTGCCTTTCCCCAATCGATTCCTCTTCTCTCCCTCTGTCCGGATCTGTTCTTCATTTCTTCCTGCCTACTTAAGTTTTCTTTAAAATTATAAGACAAAGTAGGGACTATTTGTCTTATAGAGGTTTCCTACGACTGACCCAGGTATGACCAACGGAGGAGCAAAGTGCGCTTCATTACCGGTGGTCCGAGCAATTTTCCCACAATTCTCCTCTTTCCTCCATGTTCCGGCGAAGCCTCCTTTGACTTTTCCTGAACGACCTGTCATTTAGACAGAACGCCGGCGAAACTACCGAATTGCGTCCTAACATAATGAGAACAGTTTCTCCATTTGTGTTAGAACGCATTTCGGGTCTTTGTTCATATCAGAATTTCATTTGAATGAAAACTCTGATTGTATTTGTGCCGCAGCTGCGTCTAGCAACAGCTTAATAGATGGCTCCCAGATACCATGGGAATTAGGGTACTATCTACTGAAAGACCTAAATTGGTCTTTCAGCCAAATTAACTAATACTTTTTTGCTTCGTATTAGTAAATAATCTGCCCCTACTCGCTATACTGCGAGTAGGGGCATGTCTGTTAAACAGTGAGCAGTCTATGGCTTCTCACTGTTAAAAAAACAAAAAAAAACCCTAGAATGCACCCTCCTGTGCCGTGTGAGTGGGAGCTATTAAACATGAACGAGGGACCTTTTTGCCCCCCAGTCCCACCCCTGAGCGGCGGGTGGGGGCCCTAAATTACAATAAAGGGGGGGGATTTGTCTTCCTTAGTCCCTATTTTGTCTTAAGATTTTAAAGAAAACTAAAGCAGGTATGAAGAACACATCCTGACAGAGGGAGAGAAGAGGAATCGAATGGGGAAAGGGAGGTTCGGCGTGACCGTGCCTTTTTTAAATAGTAACTTCTTCATAGTATAATATGTAACGAGGAAGTGTGAGAGTTTTTTTTTTGTTTTTTTCCCTCATGATTCACTAGATTCTAATGAACTGACAGCCGAATTTCAAAATATGGACAAAGTGCTGATTTGGGAAACGTCTCCATGTGCTCTAGTGCCACAACTTGACTGTTTCAGCAGTTTTGCAATTCGGTTTCAAGTTTACTACAGGTTGATTTTACTACTTAATAAATTCCCAGGTTAAGCAAGGTTATTCAATAAACCAGAACTTGACTAGGAATTTAACAGGAATCTTAAGCAAACATTTTCTCAACTTTGCTCCTTTTTTTTTTTTTTTTCTGCCTTGCATACTAATTATTTTATAATAGTTTTAAGCGTACCCTTAGAGATGTGCCATATATAAGCAGAGACTGATTAGTGATTTGGACGGGATCAAAATAAAACATTGTTATATGAAATTGTGTAGTAATTGGCCACAAGATTAAACATGTCAGCACATTTTACAAAAGTGTGAAAGACCGTGATGGCTTCAATCAGGAATATTTATCAAAGCGTTTTGAAAAGTGATGGTTGAAGTCTGCATTATTTTGATCACATTTTATTAAATTGATCTACATGATGACAGTTTTCTTCATAGTAAATTCTACTAATTCTTACAGAAACGTTTACACTTTCACCTTTTTATAGTGGCAGAAATAGTAATCTGTTGCGTTGGCCAAAAAAACACATAAAATAATGTTTCATCTAATGCGTAACCGCATTAGGTGAAACAATCTAGCAGATGTAATAAATTGCATCAAACATTCACAGAAAATTAAACTGAAGGTAACTCAATCATAATTTCCCCAGTGAGGGGATTTTTTTTTTTTTTCCCTTTTACGTCTCAAAAAAGTGAGTTCATGTTGCATGACATGAAATTGTGCTGCATTCTCGTTGGTACTTGCTTTGTCCTTTTTTATTTATTATTTAATATACCACTTATGGGAAAATTTGTTTACTTGAAAAAGTACTGATACTCTTCTGGTAAAATATAAAGAGCTCTCTGTTCCCTTAATGTTTTGATTAAGTCAAAAGACAAATTCGGTTTTAAAGGAGAACAAGGGACTGCACTCACTCATAAAACAAATCACGGGGTGCTGAGCCAGGTCCAGCATATCCCATGAGAACAGATATCAAAGAAAATGTCACTTACTATCAGGCCTGATATATCACAGTGAGTGACTGAGAAATTTTCTTTGATAAGACAACTTCGGTCACAAGGCAACTGGACTGACTGACAATTTTGAATCTATACATGTAAATATCTATCATTTCTAATTAAATCCACATGGGGCAAAGGTCCTGGAAATGGGGGTTTGAGTAAGCCTTTAATTAAAAAAATTCCATATCCAGTGTAAAATAAAGTTTTAATGGGTTCAAATTTGCGTTTTTTTTTTTTTTTGTTACACATATTTAACACATGCTTACTCAATGGTGTATTTTTTAAAGGTGTAGTGTTGCTCCTTGACATGTTGGACATAGTCCATCATGACCCAATGTGACATCACACCTTGTTCAAAATAAACCTATAGGTACACATACTATATTTCTCAGAATATAGGATGCAGTATTTTTAATTTATTTTCTTAACATCAAGACTTAAGGTAAAAAAAACAAAAAACATGCCCATATCCTATAAAAGTTCAGCCAGTGGAATGTCCGAGTGATTTTTCGGGATGGGGGGCACACAGAGCTCCCTCCATTAACTCTGGGTATTGTCAGTGCTGCATATTTCATAGGGCTACTGAGGCCCTTGCCTCAGAGTACCCATGATCATAGACTTATCTTTGGAATAGTGGCTTGTTTGGATTAGAAGGGGAATTTGCTTTCTCCTTCTCAACCCCACGTGACTTTACACTGTCTGCACTTACTTCTTCTATCCCAAAGCGTCTGGGCAGTGACAAAGTGTGCTTAAGAGGGTAAGGAGTTACAAGAGGTAAAGGGTTAAACCTGGCAACCAGACCACTTCATTAAGCTGAAGTGGTATGGGTGCCTATAGTGGTCCTTTAAGCTAAAGTGTGTTTTTTTTGTGATTGTAGAGTGCTTTTAAGCGCCATATTTTATCAAGTGGGCATCTTCACTGCCTGATCCCTAAAGACTTTGAGGTGTATTTACTAAACTAAGAAATAAAGTTATAATCTAAAACTGGTTTGAAAACGGTACATTTATTTTATTTTTTCAAGATAGTTTTGTAAATGGTGAGTCACTGATTGTCTGAGAGTGTCAGCTGACCGTTGTCAGGCAATCAGTGGCATCCATGCCTAGCGGCACTCAGAGCTTCTTCAAATGGGCATTTCAGAAGCCAGTGCTGCCTTGGGGAGTTGAGTTTGGTGCTGGAGTATAACTATATGGGTTAAACCGTTCAAGAACGGTTTAACACCTTTAGGTAAGTGGCACCATAACAACTTTATTTAGATGAAGTTATGGTTCCTGGAGTGCCCCTTTTTAATGTGATTCATCAAGTTATTTATTGAATTAAACTGCTGGTTGTTGTTGTTGTTGTTGTTACATAGAAAATGGTAAAATTGACTTGCCTAATGCTTTTGTTTGGTATATGCACGTGCCCATTAATGAAATTATTATAAGGCTCTGAAATCTGCTAAGGAATTCATTTGTCATACATAGGCATCGTAACGTTATGTTTGCGTTGCTCTTGAAACATATTAGAAATACTACAAAGTGATCTAAAACTAGCTCTAAATGGAAAGCTTAGAAAAAAACCAGATAACTGATTAAAAAAAAAAAAAAAAAAAAAAAATTGGTTTTAATCCAGTCTGGGTGCAATACTGCTGTATCGATCCCAATCTATATTTCTATAAACTGACCTAAATAACGGGAGTGGGGGTTCAATACAAACAGTAACTATTATTTTTATATATTTATTTTTTTTTTTCTAGATTGAATTGCATTATGTCAATGGAACAATGATTGCCTTGAATGCCCAGTATACTTGGCATTGTTTTTACCATGTATTTTGCAATGTTAAAAATGCAGTTAAGTGACTGTACACTTTTTTTTGCTAGCTAATTTTCCTGAACATGTTGTGGATAGTCTTCCCTCCGAGTTGACGACTGGCATTTACTATGGCTGGGGCTGTGTTGGAGATGGCGATGTTCATAAAATGGTTATGAGTATTGGCTGGAATCCTTATTACAAAAATACTAAAAAGTCTGTGGTAAGATTATCTTTTATTTTTCTCCTTTGTGAATGGGTTTTGTAGCTTGATGTCTTGCAGTAAGTATTCTTAAATGCATAAGGGAAGAATCACTCATAACATTCTTTTCCACTGTTGCATGAACCAGCGTCTGATTATACTGTTTCGCTGGCTCATTTATGTCCATACTCTGAACCTACAAGGGGAGTGAGTGTGAGGAAGATTGGCTTGTATAAAAAGCACTGGTATAGAGAGGCAGCGAGGGCTATACTTAATGAAGGAAGCAGAGGAACAAAAGCTTCTCCTTGCAGGCTCTGCAAAGGAGAAGCTCAATAAGTTTGTCAGCGTACTGGTGAAAGATGTTAAATATGCACAAGATTGACATTAGGCAGACAGAAAAGTCACTTGTGCTTAGGGTGTAAGTATCACCTGGCACAAAAGTTGATATATCAAAATATGTGCAGCGTTTTAAGAAGAAACCCTGCACGTACAGACACCTACCACCATGAAAGTTTCTAAAAGCAGCAGCAGACATGTGATTGGAGTAATTCTTTGTTACGAATGGTGGTATTTCGGATACCCGTTCGTTCGTTTTCTCCCGAACTTCTAGAGGCTGAGTGATTATAGCTCGCAGTTCGGGTGTTGATTCGAACGTTCTCCAGACAAAAATACAGCATACAAGTAAATCCACCAAGTAATCAGACGCATACCCAAACATCAGCCTGAACTAGGTGAAGGGTACACCAGAAATTAATTTATTCAGATCAAATGGCCAGCTTTTTATGCAAGACAAGGGTACAGTATACACGCCCACAGAAACTCCCACAACACGCCCCTTAAATTCCTGAGTCAAAATGACTCAACCTAAAATATCAAAAGTACATAATAAAACACAGATATTCTAAGCACCCCCATAAATGACTAATCCTCGGATAGCTTGGATCTGAGCGCCCAAGTTGTCAAAAAAAAGCGCTCAGATCCAACATACACAGCCGAATCGCCACCGGTGCAAAGATTTGATTAACTGTTTACGAGGCGCTTGCCCAAAACAGTTCCAGAGTTTCATGGGTAGCGGTCGGTCAATTTCTGAAGTCCCGAACAAATCCACGAACTGTGCCCCTGGCTCATAGATAGCGTTTGTTCCTTGGGTTTGCTAGAACAAACCTACTGAAACAGCGCTCTCTTGGCTGGTTGGGGAAAAGAAACAGGCGTTTGCGAAGTTGACCTGTGTTCGGGAAGTCGGGTGTCCAATTTCGAGTTCCAGACACTTGACGACCAAGTCCCGCTGCCTCTTTTCGTGCACCAAGATAGCCACCGTTTTCTCCAACACGTGTTTTTCGGTTACACATAGGGAGATCACTAATTCCTGTGGTTTTCTTTGAACTTAATGAGCCATGGTGGTCGGTGTTCGGAACCAAAAAAATAATGAACGAGCACCAAAGTATGTAGTGTGTGGTTTTTTTTTTTTTTTTCACACCCTTTAATTGTGTGTGTGTGTGTGTGTGTGTGTGTATATGTATATGTGTATATATATATATATATATATATATATATATGTGTCTATCTAGATATATCTCTCTCTATCACACACCCTTTAGTAAATTTGGTATTGTTATAAAATGCATATTAATTTAATAGTAAAGGGACACTATAGTCACTATTACTTAATTTACTATTAATATAGTGATGCCTTAATCTAAAGGATGTAATCCTGACCTGTCATAAATGCATGTTTGGTGTAATACTAATAGCTGGGAGTAGCTGTCACTAATGCTGATCTAGCAGCACCTCCGAGTTGCAGCCGCCCAAATATGAAGGCCATTAACCGAGCAGGAGATAAGAAGTTCTAAATAAAACAATACAATAAAGGAAATTTTTAATATTCAATCTCTTTACAGGAAGTGTTTAAGAAGACTTTTTTTTTCCTTCTTCCCCACAGTCAGGGGAGTTGTGGCTAGGGCTGCATGAACAGAAGTGTTTAAACTCCTAAATGGCAGAAAATTGAGCAATGAGACTGCAGAGGCATTATCTATACACTAAAACTGCTTTATTAAGCTAAAATTGTTTTGGTGTGTATAGTATCCCTTTAAGGATTCTCTTTAGATCCAGTCTGCACAGACCACAACATAAAATACATTCAACATTTTGCATATATGTCATCACAGTCTGTAAAGGCCAAGGTCATCCTATATGTACAGTCTAGAGAAGCAGCCATATTCTAGAGAGAAATAGCTGTAAAAAGCTATTAACTGATAATGGCTTCTTTTTTGTAAGTAATTCTGTGATATGTAGAAATTAATTAGCTTTAAGTTTGTGTGGAAACTTGAGTATCTCAAAATTGTATTTTACATTTTTGCCGTGTCATTGTAACAAATTTTTATTTTATTTTTTTCATCAGGAAACCCATATTATTCATCAGTTTGAAGAGGACTTCTATGGTGAACTGTTAAGTATAGTAATTGTTGGCTACATTAGACCAGAACGAAGTTTTGAATCATTGGGTAAGTTGCACTCTCTTTCTGCAGTATTTTAAACTGTAAAGTTTGTATTTTAAAATTTGGGTTTTATCAAGACATCCCATTTTGTGAGATGCAGCACATTCCAGTAAGATTAATACATTTGTTAGTAGCTATCTGTATGGAGAGTCAGAAGGACAGCAAAGCAAAAAATTTAAAAAAGCTCGTGGGGGAGGGGATATATTCCGTCATGATTCCCTTTTATTCCAGATGTTGTGTCCTTAAGGGGTTAAGAATTGTTGGAATCCTAACGTAGCTTTAATTATCCCACTTAAATCACATTAGTCTTTAAGATAATTTTAATTTCTTTAAATTTTTGGTTCAATAGCCTTTGCACTCTGTTAACACTGTGTGCTCCTGTCTAAAATGTACAGATGCCCTTATTGATGCAATTCATGGTGACATTGATGAAGCCAAGAAACAGCTGGACCTGCCAGAATTCAGAAAACTGAAAGACAACTACTTCAGCACTACATCAAATAAGATCATGAATGGTCATTGACTTTTTTTTTTTTTTTTTTTTTTTTTTCTTCTCTAAAAAGACAATTTCCTAGACTCTATCATCTTGCCTCCATTGCTGCTCTTCAGTGTTTAAATAAATATAAAATGTATGAGTTGAACATTGTTTTGTATTCTTAAACACGGAAGAGCAGCAATGGAGCATCTGATGCAATCTATCAAAGATGCTAAAGTAAGTAAATCTGTCAGGCAGTAACCATTTGTGTTTACACGCTATGTTCCCTGGCGATTAAAACGCACTTTAGACACAACCATCTGCCTATGAGAGAACCACTTAAATGTAATTATTAAGTTATGGATATTTGCTTATATTTATTAGGTCACAACTGCTGCTCTGGGGGGGGGGAAGGGGGCGGGACTTTGAAAATGAGGCTTACAGTAGCACAGTTATGATCATATTTAGGTTCGTTTTTTCTTCTACAATTTTCCTTAATTTGTGCCCCTTAATTATTGTTCTCCCACCCCATTGCCACTTCCCTTTCTTTATAGTTATTATTGCTGGATTACACTATCTGGGTATCACCAATTTGTTCTCCTCTCTCCATGATGTCTGCAGTTTGCCTTTCTGTGGAATTTCATTTAACTGGTGGATGGTAGATAAACTATCTAGGCAACCGAAATGAAACTTTGCTAAATCTCTGCGCATTACCAAAGGTCTCTAATTTTATCTTGTGTATAACGAAAATGAAGGTAAAATTAAAAAATAAAGGGGAAATAGATGGACAAAGAAAAGGATTAATTCAAAGACTAGACTTGTAATGTTACCTTGATGTTTCAAAAGAAAAGCATGCCAAGCTTCACTTTCAGACTGTAATTGTTAAATAAAATCCTTAAAATTATAAAAGAAAAGGAAACACTGGTTTTGCTTTTCTAACTACTAATTATATTTATATTTTGAACAATATCCTACAAGAGTAGTAAGTATCATGCCAACTTTGTTTGCAAAATTGCAATTTAACTAAATATTGGTCACTGCCTTCACTTCGGCAAATATTCAAATGTCAGTGTTCTTTATCATTGTGCACATTTGGGATGGTGACAATTTTGTAGAGTATTCAGCTCTTTATTGTGCTAGTACAATTTATAAATTCAATTTAAGTGGAATCTTTCATCCACATATTTGTAAATTATGGTTTTGCTTTAACTAGATCTGAATGTTTACACACATTTACAAATGGCTATATTATGATTTTTACTTTTATGAATGAGTTTATATTTTCTCTACTTAATGTTCTCAAACTGGTCAGCGAAAGCATCTGTAGTTCTTTTTGTAATGTAACCAGATGTTGTGTTAGACCGACAGATGTTAATGAATTTTTCATAGAAAATTGCATTTTTGTACCTCAACTGTAGAGTTACAGGTTAACAATTGGGCATAGTGTTACATCAGAGATAAAATTATGTTGCGAGTAAGTGCTTGCATTTTGTTTTTGTAAGTACGCGGTTTTTAATGTCCTCAGAAAATCCTTTAGCATTAATGTGTTGTGATATCCAATCTGTAATGTTTGTGAATGGTTCTTGCAAAGATAAAACATAATAAATACATTGCAAAACAGTATAGAACCGTTGTGTTTAAAGCTCACATGATGCAAGACTTTTCCATTGACCAAAGTAATGCTGCATTTTTGGCTTCTCACACCTTGCTCATCCTTTGAGAATGATAGAAGAAAAGAAATGGTAGCCTTTTTGTTGGTGGAAAAAGTTTAACTTGTAGCTTGTTCAGTTTAACGGTGTTAGTGCTGCCCTATTTCTACTAGTGTTCACCATTTTTATGAACGTTTCACTATAGAAATTTTATAAAAAGAAAAAACAAAACAACAAAGTATCTATGAGGATGTCCTGGTCAAAGGAAAACAATGGACTGGAAGATTCATTTTTAATGCATTTTCTTTTTTATAAAGTTTGCTTAGCCTGGCCTAGCAGCATTTTCACTTTTGATACCCCACAATCAAGCAGGAATATTTACCTTATTGTATCTGCTCCCTTAAATATTCCATATGCAGTTTACAGTGATCTGGACAGCAGGTTAAATTTACACTAAAATGTTCACAATGTAAATATAATTTGAACTTTGCTGTAATTTGTTTTGTTCTTTTTGTATTAGTTTACTTTTATAAACTTGCATCAAGTCAGTATTTGGGACCACATACAACTGTAAAAGACTTGGCTTTAACTGAAGCTGTATGTCTAATTGTATTAAACATTGTTGGAATGAAGTAGAAACAAACATTTGAGTAAAATACTTTTGCTGTTTTATATCTTCTGTTCATCTCTCCTGGATTGACATTTGACAGATGTTTGTTTTTCTCCCCATTTTCAGTATATTTGATCTTGACTATATAAATGCATATTTTAATAAAAAGGTTTATTTTTATGCATTTGTAAGTTATTTACCTTTGTTGCATCTTGCGTTTTATGACCTGCATTGTAAGATTTAATTAAATTTTTTTTCTAAAATAGTCTAGTGCAAATAGTTTAAAAAAGGGGGGGTTAACTGTGCTCTCAATATTAGTGTTGGTTAGCTATAAACCACCAATGTTTTGCAGAGATATGCAATTTGCTGGCAAGCCAAAAATTCTGCAAGGTTGTCCTCTCGAAGTATGTTTTCACCACATACAGTGGCAGTACCTGTGAGATGTTCTTATTTATGGTGGACAAGTACTCCTAGCCATGAAGTTAAAATAATAAAACAAGCTTCTCCCCCTCCTACTTATACCTGGCAAAAGGTGACTGAACACCCCTGTTCTTACATGTCCTGCGAGTGTGACGGACAGATGCTCCTTGGACAGAAGATAGTGACACATGGACTGATTGAGAAAATAAACTAGAAACAAATTATTGAAGGTAAAAAGAAATTTTAAAAGATTTGGACGATTACTCTCAAGGGAAAGTTAGGAATATTTGTAAAACTACCCAAAATACTTTTAAACCTAGACAATGTCTAATAAACCAGTATACAACAAAACCGAAACAAAAAGTAGGTGAGGAGAACAGAATAGAAGTTAGAAATCCGATACCTCTAAGAAAAGAAAATGAGTGGATTAAAGTAGCACCTAGAAAAACTAGGAATCCACGTACAAAAACTTTTTAAAATAGAGAACATAAGATACTCTCCCAAAAAAAGCTGATTTCAAATAGATTCGAAAAGTTAAATCATAAGGATGATAATCAGGGCTTTTTTTAAATTTTTTTTTTTAAAGGACCATTGTATATGAACAAAAAAGGAAAATTTGCTTCATACCGTAATTTTATTTTCCTGATAACTTATTCATGGCAGCATTTACTCGTGGGTTAGCTCCTCCCTTCACAGCAGGAAGGACAGGAAATAGAACTTTGAAACTGGTATAAATCGATCCTTCCCATCAAGCAGTCTGTTATCTAGCTTCACAACTCTTATAATAAAAGGGTGGGAACGTAATGTTGCCATGAATAAATTATCAGGAAAAGAAAACTACGGTAAGGTAAGAAGCAAATTTTCCTTTTTCCTGACCATTATTCATGGCAGCATTTACTCATGGGTAATACCCAAGCTGAATATATAGAGGGAGGGACAGAGTTCAAAAACAGCCAATAGTTAGAAAAACATTTATTGGGCTGCATAAACCTTTAGACTTTAAAAAAAGCCAAACCAGTAATCCATAGGATATTGTTATAAAATCTGTTCAGACAAGGTAATTTACCCTAGCGGCTACAAGGTCTGCAACCTCCTGGCATTCAAATGTCTGAAATATTCTGAAAGGGCCAGATAGGAATTAAGGCCATGACAGCCAAACCTAGAGAAGGAACAAGGCTAGACAAACTCTCATAAGCAATAAGGAACCCATCTTGTGATGGATTTAAAAAAAAAAAAAAAAAAAAACTTTTCTGATATAAATTTAAAACCAATGGATGACATCAATTCAGAACCTTGATAAAGGCATAACTTCCAGATATCATCATACTGGAACAAGCAGATAATATTGGATGAGAACAGTCACACCATACTATTAAACATGGGGAGATTTACACTGAGAATCCTACTACTTTCTGGATGTATTTTACCTGTAGAATAAAACAAATATTTGCCTGTCAGAAAGAGGCAGAGCGCAATAATGACTATATATTGCAAAACCAGACTCCCAACAATACCTCACACTGGATGAATTGATACAGCAATGATCAGTCACAGGAGAGGTATAAACCTAGGCAAAGGCAAGAAGAATCATATACAGATTAGTTGAAGACAAAAAGAAATATCGTATGAGCCGTAGAAATTGTGGCAACTACTAAATTATAAGTGGGCCAACCACGTCAGTACCTACATTCAAATAAACATATTGTAAATAGTACAGATTATGCTAAACCGTATAGTCAAATTTATTAGAGACTGATGTGCAATATAATAGGAGATATGGAATAGGCAGGATACTGATGAGAAAGTGGTAACCAGAGGCACATTATACATTGTGGCAACAGACACATAATAAGCAGGATAGTAGGAGATATTCTGTTATCTTTAGGAGACAACCGCTTACTTACTCTTACCAATCCAAGCATATAATCCACAGGTATAACATCCATGCAATGTTAGGAGAGACCATAACTTATACCGCTTTAGGTACAGAGACCATCTAAAACATATCTGTCAAATGTTTGTCCTCAACAAGCTGCATTACATTATATTATGCAGGATAAATCAACCACTTAAAGTCACACATTGGTTGCAAATTCCAGATATAAAAGGACACCTAAAAGAATCCCCATGGATATCAGAACCAAGGTCCGAATGGAACGACATGTTAAGGGATTTCCTTTATTGTTCTGGTAGCAGGTGAATTTTACCTGAGATAGTAAACCTGGTAGAATGGTCTGGGGACTGGAAAGATCTTCCAATGTCAATTAGAATACTTGCAATACACAGCATCAAAGTTACCTGGAGTATATGTGCCTAAAAGAATACCTTTTTATTACAGAAAGGAATTATGTTGCCCTTCACAACAGGGGAATCTGTCAGAATTTTCTGATCATTAACTCCTTAAGAACCAAAAGCATGCCACCCCTGACATATACTAAACAGGATTGCCAAACTTTCAGGTCCCCCTCAGTTCTAAAGAAAATGTTAAACCAATGCCAGAGAATGGAGTTAAAACTGAATAAAAAGTATAAACCAGACCAGGAGTAGTGAGATTTTCAGAGTAGAAGCTTGCAGAAAATACAATGATACAAGTTATGACCAGGTAAAAGAAAATGCCAATATAACCAGCTTTTAAATTCAGTTAAGTTATATTTTAGAAAGAAAGGAAATATACCAGTGAAAACAGTCAGGTTACCTACATATGAGATCAATAAATAGCCCAATGTGTGCTCCTGCAACCAGCATAAATCCTGTATAAATACATAGGTGTGCACACAAAAAAAAGCATTAATTCTGTTCAACATTACCATGCTCCCTTTTGGAAATTCAGGTCTCCTTCTCTCCTGGGAGAGGCACTCAGGTTCAGTAACACCTGCAATCTATCTGAAGTGGTAAAATGTGTTAATTCCTTATCCTGAAACACCTGAGGGAGAAGGAATCTAATACAAAGCCAAAAGCAGCATGTTTCTCTTATCGACTTCATTTAAAAAAACTGAAATAGAAATTTCACAGTAGGCAATAATTACTTACCCAGTACAACAGTGCATTTGATTTTGCTAGAATGGGCTGTATTACATTTCAGCGCAAAACCCAGACCTTAGATCATTTGCATTATTAAATCTACCAAGGCCGTGTATAAACCTGCATACAGAATATATGAATCACATACATTGTGGATGTTTCTAACAGCACCTTATGCACAGATATATAAGATACATATACTGAGTCTGTTTAAACAGTAATCATACATATCCTGCATCTGCTATAGAGTGAGACTATGTTTGCACACATATTAAGTTTATATGAGGGAGATAAATTGAGGCTGTGTTTTAACAGGACTTCATTCACATATTATACCACTCACATATACTGAGGTTGTGACTAACAACCCACACATAGAAACCAGAATTAGAATAGACTCATAGAGGATGTGTCTTATATCATTCACATATATTGTGTTTACACTAATACATCAAGCATATCGTTTTTTTTGTTTTTTTTTAAATTAAATAATTTATTTGAATTTTTTCAATAACAGTATAAAGATACACAATATACAAACAAAATATATTCAAACAAAGAACGATTGTCACATATCATACTTTGTTACAAATATACATAAAGACATACAAAAACATTTATAACAGCGCAATTCTGAGTTATAGCTTTTATCCTATCCTGGTTTTATTATCCTTCTCTTAGAAGTTCATTATTCCCTTTTCTTTCCTATTTCTTAAAAAAAAAAAGACATCAAGCATATAGTTAACAGATACACTGAAGCAATGTCTCCACCCCAACTTACATATAGAGCATGTAGAGGGCATACGCTGAGGCTGTGTTTTCACAGTATATAAAGAAGACACATACTGAGCCAGAATCTTCAGATCAACTCATACATAGAGCATATAGTGGATACTTATACTGAGGCGGTGTGCTCACAGCAACTCATACATAGAGCATATAGTGGGTACATATACTGAGGCTGTGTCCTCACAGCAACTCATACATAGAGCATATAGTGGGTACATATACTGAGGCTGTGTCCTCATTGTAACTCATACATAGAGCCTATAGTGGATACTTATAGGCAGGCCGTGTCCTCATAGTAACTCATACATAGAGCATATAGTGGATACTTATACTGAGGCGGTGTGCTCACAGCAACTCATACATTGAGCATATAGTGGGTACATATACTGAGGCTGTGTCCTCATAGTAACTCATACATAGAGCATATAGTGGGTACATATACTGAGGCTGTGTCCTCATAGTAACTCATACATAGAGCATATAGTGGGTACATATAATGAGGCTGTGTCCTCATAGTAACTCATACATAGAGCATATAGTGGGGACATATACAGAAATTCTACCACTCTCTGGAAAAGCCTGCCTATTTGCGATAATTCACAGATAACAGCAATTGATGCCACATGCCTTGATAAAATCTGTCATACATGTGTGTACTTCAATCAGACATCCAGGAAAGATTTCTTACCTTGGATATTACTCTGTCTTCAGGACTGTGGAATTCCAGCAGACTTTATACAGCCAGGATATCCATTATTAGCACTCTTTTGCACAATGCCTCCTTGCATTATCAGCACTCTTTTGCACCAAGCATGTATAAACTTACCTAAATGCTCACCACACAAACCTCCTAAATGTGACCTATTTGTTAGAAGGAAGCCTAATGTAAGCAGCTGGGAGGGACTGAAAAAACCCAGGTGCCTATATTAGCTTTAATCTAAATTACTAAT